GGGGTTGGTGGGGTGTCATAAATGTTGGACCTGGAAGTAAAAAATGCCTCCTGATAATCAAAAGACAGAAAAAACGTAGGATGACAAATAAACCCTAAACAGATCAGAGATATACCACATACATGTATATTATGATGTTCTGTAGATTCATAAAAAGTTCTGGTAGTGTGTCAGAAAACCAGAATCCACATTAAGTCCCTCCTTTATGGCGTTGAAATGTAAAATCATTTTCATCCCAAATGTTTTCCTTTCATGAGAGTTATATACACACATACATACACGAAAACGTATGTGAATTTTACTGTTGAATTTTCAGTGGCATTGGATTTTGTTAAAGCTCTCTACTTGCATATACCTTTACTATTTCCCAGAGGTCCCTTCAGGTCTGAATATATGGTGGGTTCACCTTTAGGAGGTAGAGGTGCCTGTATATCCAGAGATTTGTCATTTATGCCCTCGAGACTACCTTTGGACTAAAGAAAAAGTAGAAAAAAAAAAAGTTAGGCCATAAACATTTTCTGCTACATAATGTTACACACAAATTACAAAAAATATCACCTTGGAACGGTGCAAGTTAGCTTGGATGCCATTGTCACTGATCTTGACCGTTATCTGCCTTTCTGACAAATCTTGACGAATGAACGGTGGTTTCAGTGTGATTTGGGGCCTCTTCTTTGGTTCAACCACATACCTTATAAACAAATGAAACCCTTCCGTTAGTCTGTGGAATGGTTCCCAGCATGATCATTGCCCTAACTACACAGTCCAATCTTGAACATCTACTGGCTCCTTTCTCAAGTCTTTAATATAAGATAGTATATTTCATTATAAACATTAACAAAAATACAGATTTTGGCCCAAGGTTAACCAATCTATAGAATGTGCCCCGTAAGTTTGCTTCCTTTTTGAGAAAATTTCCTCAAAACTACTGCTTTCGACATCATACGTCTTTTTTAAACAAGCCATGATACATTTTACTGATAAAACTGCACTACTTGTTAGATTGTTGCTTAGCAGAAAACGTGAGAAGAATGTTTCTTGATGTAATATTGAACGTCTTACTAGGTTTGCTAATATACTAACAGACACAGATTGCAGATAAAATAGGCACGCTGTTTATGTCTACAATTACATTTTCACTCATCTGCTAAAAAAAATGTCTTCAAAACACAGTGTATTGAACAGGACCAACATTTCAAACTGCATTATTTCTTACCTGCTCTGTGTGATCATAAGAAATCACAGAAGACAGAAATTATTTTGGAAAAGACATTGTTGCGCTTTTTTAAAATTCCTATACTGTTTAAATTACTTTGCATTTAACTTAATGCTCAAATAAAAATGCTCATTTTCAAGCATACGGTGTAATTAAAAAGATAAAAAGGTTATATTAAATTTGCATATGTAAGAAAATATTATTTCGCCTGCTTCATGTGTAATTTTATAATTAATCAAGAAATGATTAATATTGAATTATAAAAATTTAGAAGGGAGAAGTCTTCTGGATGTCCTTGATTTTGTTGCCCAGTCTTGAATTTTAGATCATAGGAGAAGTGGGATAACTCAATATTATTTGTGGAATCATTATATCGTCTTTATATTTAAATTATTTGGAGGTTTTGTCATTAAACCGGCATTAAACTGTTAAAATGCACATATGTGGGCAGTTTTTACTACAGATGAAAAAGGGTTTGTAATTGTGTTGAGCCAGTCTTGTACTCCAAGCACTTGTGCTAGAGAGCACAGACAGGTCGGTGACCTTGCTTTTGGCTGCTGTAGTTAAACAATATAGCTTGGTCACCACACCAACCAAACCCCTAGTCTGAGATAAAAAAAATGAATGAGAGAGTCTTGCTGAGAGCCCTGCAATAAGAAGGGATATTCTGACGGTTATCGGCGCTCCTCATTGTTTGAGGGATGCATTAGCGTGAAAAACGTAGGGGTGGGGGCAGGTGTCAAAATAGTGAGGTGTTGAGTTTGAGCTAGGGCAAGTCTGCTGAAGGCAGGCTACATCAATATGGAGTAAGTGGCGGTAGTAAAAAAAAAATTGTGGTAGAGGACCACCACCCAGTAGGTGGATATTCATGGATCAGTGAAGAGGAGACTTTGTGTCAATGAACGTATTGCACCAATGAATTATAATAGTAAATTTTAGGGCCACACTGCACTTAGAAAAGGAACTTTAAGATGCGAGTTAGAAAGAATGCAAAAGATGGGATCGTAGGCTAAAAAAAAAAAAAAGCATCCTGGAACTACTTCGTACTCTAATCGCACTTACCTGCACTAATAAGCTGTGCAGGTAGCACACTCCACTTTATGGAGTGT